CCATGAGTTCCTCGGACGACGGCGATTCGGACGAAACGAAGTGCATTATGCATGTTTCGAATGCCGAATCGAGCGTTTTATCGTTCTCCGAGACAAGCTGGATAAAATTACACGCGCAGAAATCGTGGAAAAAGCGGAGAAGTTCATCGGCATGCACGTGCACCACTGACATGACTGATGCAGCACTCTCGTGGAAGGAGATGTGTACCGGAATCATCGGCCTACGTTAGTTCGTATTATTATTCTTGCCTTGAACCTAATTGTAAGAAGCCGTTGGATTCGGAATATTTCAGAATATTTTTTCTACAACCTAGATTCGTATGATGTGTGATTTGTTTTGTAAAATATGTTACTAGTACTACTAGTAGACCATCTGACCGTCCATTGTTGACATCATGATCATGGCAAGTTAGGAAAAGCCACAGATCAAAGATTTTTTCCCCCTCACTCAGATGTAGGATTTTAAGACAAGGAAGAGACTCTTATTACATTGCACAACGGAACATTTTATATTGAGTAGGCCTATGCTTCCTGAACTTGGCGACTGTGTATAGAACGGCCGGTTCCCTTGATTTAAAATAAGGAGAACAAAATCCACTTTGACTTTATACTTGGCATCATTGGGGACTGTGTAGTATGTTGTGGGTCTACCATTCAATTAATTTATAATTATCTAAGTACCAAGTCGTTAAAACCAACATTTTGCCATTCTTTAAGCTGTCAGCCCATAGCGTCCTCATTTCAAGTGTACTTTTATTTCCTTGCTATTTTTTTTTCTACATAGTATAATATAATAAAAAAATAATGAGAACCTGCCCACTTCTCTTAATGTCAAGCCCTCACTGTCAATATATTTAGATTTTAGATTTTCACTTTTTTTTCCATTTTTAAATTTTTTTTCCCTGATCACTACATGTGAAGAATAGTATACAAAAAATAAAATGTTTGTACCTGAAGGTGCCATGGTGTAAATATTTTCCTAAGTTAGATGATAGAATGTTCCATTCTACGAGGTGAAGCTGAGTTGAATGGAACATTTCTCTTTGACCCATAATCCTCCAATCAACTGACAAAGATTTACATTTTGAAATAATTGAAATGAGAGTAATGAGTGATATTGTAAAAACATTTTCTCAATTACAGGCATTTGGATACCATCAACACATTCAGCAGTGCTACAAACGTCTGTCATGTTTCCATGATAGACTGCAGAAAGACTTGCAAAGAAACAACAACATGAAAGTCAAGGTATTTTTGCCTTTTTTTTCCTATGGAGTCACATGAGCACACTCACTTGAAAAATATAACATGTCTAAAGCAGGGGCTGGTTGGAGATAGAGCCTTCCTCTACACAACTTTAGTTTGAGTCAAGGTTTCATAATTTTGTAGCTAAATCAAATTGGAAATACTTGCAAACATATACAAGCCCTACTTTAGAATTGACAATCTCTAGGAATTTGTTTCTCGTACAGTTTAAAAAAAAACATTCCATTCATTGCTAATGTTTATTTCTCAAGTTAAAACATGCAGTGCCTGTTAAACAATAAGACAATGCAATTTGCAATTAAAAACTGCTCATTTAAGAAAGGGATTTTTCTCGTAATTTGACAACTTGCAGATACAGCATGTTCCAGATGGGAACTGTGATGGAGTCAATGATGCCGCCAAACAAGGATGCCACGTCCTGAAGTGCTGTCTCCACACAGAAGAGGTTGGAAAGTCATCGGCGATGACATCAGTATCCACTGGATGGATCTTCCCCCTGCCCCAGACAGTGTCATGGAATTTGCCCATTGCTCATGTAAAAAAGTCAATGCACAAAAGGCCAGTGTAGCTGTCTTGAAAAAAACTGCCATGCACAGACTTGTGCAAGTGCACCAACTGTGAAAACATTCCAAGTGAAGGGCAGCGCACTTCACCCAAAAAGGATTCAGATATCGAGGACTGACCATCACGTACATGTACATGTATGTCTATCTAAATAAGGAATAGGATTGTCACTTCAGAAAGTTTGAATCACACAGTCTGCTTCCCATCCACTTAAATATTTCCAAATATGAATCAACAGGACTTATGTTTAACTAACTTACATTGTTATGGATGTACACAACTAAAAAAACACCAAAGTTCAGTCTTACGGTTGAAATGGACACCGTTGACTTTGTTGCAGGATTTTTCCACTTGCAGTTTCAGCAAGGGGATGGGAAATAATCTTACTATGTGTTTTCCTTTTTGACAATCCTTTTTCTTTTTAAGCGCTGACCGTGAAGCCAAAGAAGATTTTTTGTGGTAATTTGTAAGGGCTTAAAAACAGTTTATTCCTCTTCAGTAATGTTCATGCTTACAGTCTTATTTGTTGTTGATCAAATAGACTCTATAAAGACATCCTTGAGAGCTTTCTGTTACTGTAATTCCTATTTTTTTTTTTAGGGGGGGTGCAAAAGATTGTCCTCCAAGATGCTATGCAAAAGGCCCAAAAGGCTCTAGGTTGATGCCTTCGTGCAAAGAGAAATGTTTCACATTTTATATTAGAGGTATTCACCAATCCTTTTATACATTGTACCATGTTCTCAACAGCAGTTTGGTTTCTTTGAAGGTTGATGACATGTTTCGTGTTCTCCTTCGACCCTTCAAATGATTTGAAAATTATACAACGGAACTCGCTGTAGATAATGGATGTAGTTTCCAGATGCCATTGGATTCGCCATTGAAAATTCATGTCTGTTCACCATTTTTGCAATGACTAACCTTTGTTGAGATGATATGAAGAAAAAAGGGGTGCCAGGTTACAACAGTCTTTCCCGGAACATGTTTAATATGTAAGACAGTTGAAAAATTAAAAGTACATGTAATTGCAGTTTATTTTAATCCTCAAAAATATTGGCTCCACCAGAGACGCAAACCGCAAGCACTGTATTATAATTTTTGCCAATCACAGTAATTATTTCTCAAGTCTTTTTATTTACTGTTTACCGTTTTGTTTTTTGTATGAATAAATATCGTCAAAGGCTGAAGTTATAAAGCCCTGTGGTCATGTTTATTTTTTCATTGAGACTAAATTCATTCGTATTTGTGTCGGACACTATGTTGAATGTTATTACA